GAGAATAAGGATAAGCATATGGATGTCTTGTGGTTAGTCTGTGTGGTTGTTATGTAGCTCTGCTATGTTTAGCCTCATTAACAGGAAGAGAGTTCATCAGAGGACTGTACATCTTCACAGCAGAGGCTGGAAAGCAGATTTTGGGCAATATAGCACTGATTCATATGTAATTAATGAAGCTTTCTTTCTGAAGACAGATTTAACTATCAGGGAGCATTGTTGTGTAAAACAAGATGTAGACTGATTTTGTAGTGTCAGAATGAACTGTTGTGTAGCAGCTTTAGAAGTTCAGGACAGACTCCTAAGTCCGTCGTGGTGTATTCAGACCAAACAGTAGTGAAGCTTTGCTTCATGTTACTTTCATGAATATAATTAGTGAACTGTTTCCAGACCGTTTCACTTTCACCCAGGACAATGAAAGAACAATTACCTTTACTTACTCCGACCAATAGCTGGAATAAAGAATGAAGTAAGAGGCTAAACTGAAGTTGAAGCATTTTCAAAATGTACCTCTAGAGTGCAGTGAAAAAGTATTCGCCTTCCTAATTTGATCACTTTTTGTATATTTACTTAAATGTTTCAGATCACTGTAATGTAAAATGTAAGTATTAGACAAAGATAAATACAAAATGCAGTATTTAAATGTTTATTACATTTATTCAGAGAAAGAAGTCCAAACCTACCACCTGTTAAATCATTCACAAACTGTGAATAACCTCTTTTTTTTGGAAAACTAAGTTCAAATTCACTAGCCACAGCCAAGAGTTATTGACAAAAGACCTGATGAATCAAGAAATCACTTACACTGAATTTGTCTATCAAAGTGAAGAAAGTTAAAAGACTAAAAAGTAAAACATATTATGCCACAATCTAAAGAAACTGCAGAGAAACAAAGTCATTTGCTGTTTATCTACATATATGTACAAATGTACAAACTGCAATGTAGACTGTGCTCTGCAAAAAGTCCTCAGACGTAAACTTCAAATCCAAGATCTACTTGCAAAAGAAGCTGTCATGATCCTGGGTCTTTTGACCCAGCGTTTTTAGTTTGAGTTCATTTTGTTCATTAGGTTATCTAAGTTCATTTGGTTATTAGACTCCTTGTGTTTTCTTCCCCTGTATTTAAGTTTCCCCTCACCCTTCGTGTTTCATGCTGCATGCCTTATGTTATCAAGTTTGTATTATCATGTCTGTCTCATGTTTCCTGTTTTATTTTGAAGGAGTCGTGTGTTCTTTGTTCATTGTATTTAGTTTCACTTCCCTTGTCCTGTCATTAGGCTCATGTCAGTCAGCTATTCCTCCATGTGTTTCCACTTCCCCTAATCACTTCCTGTGTATTTAAGTCCTCTGTTTTCAGTGTGTGATTGTCAGGTCGTCTGTTGTCCACACCATGTTTCCCAGTTCCTTGTCTAGGTTTTTCTTATTGTTTGTTTAGATTTCCCAGTTTAGGTTTGTGTTAATTTT